GGATGAATTAATATTCAAATTATTTGGTGCTCTGTAGGAATCAGAATTAGCTAATACCTTCTTAATGGCCAGTGTAGATAAGCCTGTCCTATCCATATTCCCATACTGTAAAATACAGCTTCACTGTAAAACCAGATGAGTTAGCCCAACTGAAATTGTTTAAGGAAACCAATTGCCTTAAACCGTTTAAATGTATTACCTCCAACAATTTAAGCATGAAAATGTTTTTGATTTGAGTACAAGTAACTCAAGTGTTTATTGTTAAGGTAACTTGGGTAACTTAATTGTACCAATTTTATTCAATTAAGTGAACTTAAAACAAGTAAGTATATTACACTCATATGAAGCATTTCTCCAAACTTATTTAAAACGTGTATTTGAATAAAGTAAGTTGCATCTTATTTATATACATGTTTCCACCTAAGTTGAATTTACTCAGTTTTCTTCCACTAAAGCAAACCACTGACGTACAATAAAAACAATTTACAATTAATCAATTATCAAAATGGTAGCAAATTAATATTGGGGCTTACATTTTTGTAATGATATATTGTCAACTTAAAGAAATTAGTCAATGGAACAAACTACGAATACTATTATACTGCTCAAATTTAAGTGCACTCAAGAGTTAGTTTAACAATCCATTTTTGAGTTGGGTTTAATTCACAGGAATGAGTGACTCAAAATGTTTTAATGGATTAACTTATGTTAGCTTACTTATTTTATAAATATATATTGTTAGGCTTTACAGTGCAGGATTGGGAGGGTTGGGGTGGCTGTGGCTCAGAGGTAGAGCGGGCCGTCCACTAATCAGAAGGTTGTTGATTAAATTCCTGGCTCCTCCCTGCTGCATGTCAAAGAATCCTTGAGCGGTTGGAAGACTACAAAGGAGCTATACAAATACAGGTCCATTTACCATTACCAATTACCATTTGGGAACCAAGTTGGGAACCACTGTGTTAGAAAATGTAGTCAGTAATCTAATCCAAGTATCAAAATATTAAAGTAATGTAACCTTTCTATTACTTTTGGGCAAATAAAAACAAGAGAAAAGAAACATTAATAAGAAGTACTGATCTGACAACAGAACAGAACCTTACAAAATAAAATGGAAACCAAGAGCATAGCAGAGCTGCTCAGTGTATTTTTAAAGAAAAACTGATGTATTTTAAAATTGTGAAATTAATTACAGTTACCTTTTTTTCTGTTCTGATTATGTAACTCAGTTTTATGTAATCCATTACTTCCCAATTGTGTAAAGAGCTACTGGAATATAACTGTATATTGTATGTACTGCACATTGTATTATACATATTTTAGAAAACTATACTATAAAGAAACTTTTGAATTGAAAAATAAAGATATAAACATGTTTATTTGAAAATGTTGTGTTGTTTAGTAAAATCCAGGTTGGCAGAAACAGATTAAAACAGTAAAGAATTTTTAATCTCACTGTATATTGTAAATGTTCATTTTGAGCAGTTAAAATGAAATTAAAAATTATCTGAGCAGCGAGACATAAGTAATTTTCCTTCATGTTTATTCAAATTACATCTCGAACGGTTCCAAAATGATTGTCAGAAATTTTGCTGATGATGAAAAATGCAAATCTGGGGCAATATGTTATCACTATCCAAAATAACTGTTCTCACGCCTCTGCAGGAAATGAAAAGATGTCGAGCGAGATGCTTAGCAAAGAGAATAGTAGCTGAATGAATATTGCTGATCTCTCTTGTCAGCGGCTACTATAGCTGGTGAGAGTGGCGGTCACAAACACTACAACTAGTTGGGCAGACAGCAAACAACTGAGTATTGCTTGTGTGTAGGAGAAACTACGATGGTCGTGTTTTTATATATGTACTCTTACAAACACTGTATACCCAGAACTCAAAAAATTGTGGAAACTAATTACGTCTAATTTTTTAAGCAAACTTTTTTTTAAATTTTGTAAGTTAAAAAACATTCTTGATCAAGCAGCTTTAGTCATTTTAAGTGACACTGACTTAGTTATTTGTATTTGTAAAGTGAAAACAAAATCAGAATCAGGTTTTGTTTCTGTAACTTACAAAACTATGTTAATGTCACTTAACATTACTAGTAAAAGCTGCTTTATCAAGAATCTTTTTCAACCAAAAAAAATGTGTTTGTGTTATTTTTGATATAATCTGTTTCAACAATTCTTGTGAGTTAAAATAACTTATCGCATTACAGTGAAGGAAGTTTTCACTGTGCACCCCATAGGGTTTCCAGAATGGTTTGTGATACTTTCAGAACCTTTTCGGAATCCACTTTCAGTTCACCCAATTATTACAACAGAGTTATAACGTTTTTGGCAGAATTTTAGTATTGGATGAGCATGAATACAGCTACACATACAAAGGTTTCATTACTATAGAGTAAAACAAGTCCATTAAAATCCATCACCGCTCACTCCAAAAAATGAAAAAAGCTGTATGATACACACACACACTGGCAGCAGGAGAAAAGCCCCTCCCTTAAGATCCTTTTAACTTCATTGCTGCAGAAGAAGCGACAACCGGCTTAACCATGAAGACATAATTCATGAGATTATTACAAAGATCAGCTGTACGTATAATCAGAGAGAACCACTTGTTGACCAGCGTGGAAAAATGTGCTTCTGATATAAATTAACAATGAATGGGAAGTGGCAGGTATGCAGTGAGAGCAGGGCTGGGAGCCACAGTGAGGCAGGGAGACCACGCCCCCACACACCAACACCTTAGTAGCAGCATGTTGACATTTTTTAAGCTTTACTGAAAGCACTTAAAGTAGATCAACCAGAAAGACTGTCCTAAGGCTCATTAATTCAACTCTGTCTCTCTCTCTTTCTTACCCACAATTTCCAACCGACACAGCTGCGAGGTGATCATGCAATGCTCTAAAGTCCACAAGAAGCGTTGTGGCGCATCCCAGAAGTCACTCTCCGCTCTACTCCGTGTAGAATATGCAGCTGGTCTATTTTTGACTGAAGCTGCACAGAGCAGCTCGTACTGGCAGGAAGTCAGACACAGAACTCTGGATCGAATTTCTATTCTTCTAATCTACTATTAGTGTAGTTGTTGCTACTGTTGTTGCTGTGCATCAAAATAATATAATAATAATAAAAAAAGGTAAGGTATTACTCTTTTTGATGAACCAACCAGATTGTGCCCCAGTGTCAAGTCGAATGGCGTGTCTGCAGTATGGCGATGAATTCCGTTGTGTCGCCATGAAACCGGCTGCCCCAGACTTCACATAACCCTGATTAGCAGGTTTTTAATCTGTTTTTGGGGTCAACCACACACATGCTATTGCTTCTAGTTAGGGTAAGGTGTGCTGAATTAAGGTACTGGCACCTTTTTTGGTCCAATATAGGCACAGTAGTTTGCTATATTAATCATGGTGTCAACTCCTTTAACGCTATGGTAGGTAATCAGGGAGAAACTAGCAAGAGATGGATGGATTTAGAAAATATCTTACCAGAAAGATCCCACCCCCTCCCTTCAGGCCTCCTTCTCAAGCCACTCCCCCCAAAACACACATTGTGAAGTACATCACTTAGTTGTCACTGTGTAATCATATCCAACTACCTCCTGTCTCATTCATAGTTCTACATACTACAGAGTTCAGGAAAATAACAAATTACCCCCAGAACAAACCCAACCAGATAATTAGCTTAATATCTCTAAAACTCTTTTCTTTCTTTGTTCAGCAGTGAAAAGTTTTGTAGGTAAAAAACATTTTGGCTGGTCTCTTTCTCTCTGGTACTAGATCGGTAACATTAGCAATATCTTATTACAGGCCTGTCACTGCTACAGGAATCAGATTTCTTTTCTTTTCTTATTTTTCAGAGGATGATTTGATTGATTTATTGATTTCTGTCAGGATGTGAAAAGAACAATAATATAACAAAAATGCTTCTGAAATACATTACCTGCCCTAGCTTTAAATAGAATGATGTCACAATGGGGTCTAGTCACCAAAGACCTCATATTTCCCATCTCTATTGTGCCCACGTCAATAAAATATATTTGTTTACTCAGAATGAAATGCTTTTGCTCTCATTCATAATTTACAGTCACTTAAGGCTTATGGGACTTTATTTGACTTTGTCTATGTGTGAGAGTAAGATCTTTCTTGATATGCATTAAATCCAGTTCACAACAGCAGGAACAAACTTGAATTCAGACAGTTATTGAGCTTCATTTCCCTTCACGTCAATCTACATTAACTAGGGAACTTTGAACATCAGATGAGTGTCTGCTTTGGCCATTCATTGATAAACTACACCAACATCAGTTTCGTGTGATGAATTTTCCACATGTACATACAAATTGACAGCTTCTGATTATATTTTTGCACCGTGTACTAAAGCAGTGAAACAATGACAGCAGCAAAAATAAACCACTGTTTTCCGGGTGACTGAAGACTGTAATGCTGACTGCAACTTCTGTAAGTCAGCCCTGTGAGATTGGGGCATAACCCCACAAAGTGTTTCCAGGCAAAACACAGCTGTGACGTCAGAATGACACCGAATGTCATAACATCAGCACTTTCATTGTGATCTATCTAAAAAACACAGTGGTTTGAATTAGCTATTTTCCATTTCCCAATGATCATTGCATATTAAGTGAAGAAAATACAAGAAATACATATAAGATAAAACAACAAAAAAAATGTATAATATTCCAAAGAAGAACTGTGTTAAAATAACAGAAAGTGTTAAACATAAAACTCCAAATGTACCACTGATTCAAAATTACCTTTGATTGCATCATACACACTCCATTTCAACACACAACATCTACATTACAGTTATTTTTTTTCAAGGTGTTTTGAGGCTTAATGGGCAATTAAATGAACAAATAAACAAAGGTTTGAGGGTTTTCCAGTGTAAATGTCTGTATTGACATAATCCACTTTCCTTTAGCTCTATCAGTAAATGGTGGAGCTGATGTGAATAGCAAAATCTGTTCTCAGCGTTGATGTGTGGGTAAATATAGGCTATTCTCTCTAAAAACCTTACAATAATAACACAAACACACAAAAATGTTTGCAGTTTGATGGTGCATCACTTTGATATACAAGGCACCCCTGATGAACTTGAATCTGGCCCATGAGCAACGTTACCCAGTTTTATAGAGCCTGGGTTGATATAACCATCAACCAGATATCTCATGTGACATCATTGTGGCATGCCTCTTTTACTTTCTTTAAGAGTCCAGTGTGTAACATTTAGGAG